AATTTAACTTTTCATATTTGATGATTATGTTGTATATAGTGATTATAGGAGAATCTTTATGCAGTTGTTAGTTTGTTTTCAATACTGTTACTGATAAACAGCAAACTCAAGACTGTTATTTGTGTATATATAGACCTCAATTGAGGAAAAGAAATCAATGAAGTATTCCTGTTCCAAAATTTGTATTTTTGACATCTTACTTATTAAATCGCTTTCGAAAAATCCTTAATGTCTAAAAAAAAAATTAATCATGGTAACCAGAATTCATCGCTGCGTGATCAATCCATAATAACCAGAAATATTCACAATTGTCAACAAAAGCTTCCTAAAACATGGTTAAAGGAAAAACCTCAAATGTCATGAAACAGAACAAGTAAATATATAATGACTGCAAGGTAGCCAAAAAAAATATGACTGCAGACTACAGTCTTCTTTTTGTGAGCAACCCAAAGCAATGTTATTAGACCCGACCCGGACATCAACCCGATCGAGGTATGGAGTTATTGGGTCACTGGTCGGACCGGTGGGTCAGCGGTCGGACCGGTTAACCCGAATATATATATATATATATATATATATATATATATATATATATATATAAAAGTAACATTTATACAGAATTTTTACTAATTAATAGGAGTGACTTTTGTGTGTTGGATACCCAAAAATAAGTTGGGCTCTTAATAATTCGCTTGGGCCTTGTGGACATTGGCTTGGTAACACTTGTTGGTTTTAATTGCAACGTTTTGGTTGCATCAGATGAATTGTGATGATGTGTCACTAGGGAGGATAAGGGGAATTATCCTTGGAGTGTTCTGATTGGTTGGTAATTCTTTTATCTCTTTTTGATTGGCCGAATGACTATGCTCTTGTCTTTCCAATGAGTTGCCTTTAGACTGGAAAGTGGTTGAGGCATTAATTGCCTTGGGTGTCATGATTTGGCTTGAATCACATCTGTTGGTTCCAATATTTCCAATATTTTCCCGTAGACTGTGCTCTTCTTCTTCACTGAGTTATCACTTGCTCTTAATATTTCCAATATTTTTAATATTTTCTGAAAGGAACGTCTCTTCCCCTATTTCTTTGGCAAAACTTGAGTTATAACCACCATTTAGTACCCACCTTGAGTTATCATCGACGACGACGACAAGAACATAGCAGAAAATCATGCATGGCAGAGAAAAGAAAAACCGACAACGATTCCTTCTTGGTTTTCACACTGATTTTTTTTAATACCAGATTCACACCGATTTTTCAGACCTGACGGGTCACCGGAACCCGTTACAGCCCGAGCGGGTCACACGGTTTGATCCGAGACAAATGCATGTCCGGTCGAAAAGCCAACCCAAACCGGTTGATATGGCGGGTCACCGGAACCCGGGTCGACCCGATCGGGTCGATCCGGGTTTGATAACAATGACCCAAAGTGATTGAGTTATTCCCATCACTAAGATAGTATAAGATCTTTTCCTATTTTTAATTTTTAATTTTCTTTGGAATACGGTGTGGATGTTGGATCCCATGGTTTGTCTCTAAGTACGGATATATAAAATAGACGTTGGTACGAGAAACCATAATGGTTTGTGATTATTTTATTTTATTTTTAAAATGATAAAATAGATATATCAATGATATTTTTAATAGTGTTAAAAGATGGATTTAGATGGAAAAAATAAGGGGTCAAGCGATTCAAAGGGAAAGCTGATTGATAAGAAGTGGAAAAATTCAAGTGGGGCAGCTCAATTGGTTAGAGGAGGAATGAGCAAAATGAGGACAAAAATCATGGCTCAAGTCCCATCAAATGTCACATTGAAAAGGGCAAGAAATATCGTAATCCAAGACCACAGTCCTGAACTTCGGTTTGGTCTCATAGATAATTCAAAAAGGCAAATCCATAGAGACACTGAAGAATCTGATTTGCTTCAAAGAAATAATTAATATAGTAATCCAAAAAATAAAATCGGAACTGGAAAGGAAAATAAAGAAAGCATACAACTTTCTTGTTACTGAAGAGTATTTTTTTTCTGCTGTTGACCCGTTAAAATCAGTGCATCTATTTTTTTTTATAAGGGATAGACCCCATCATATATTGTATATGCAACAAGAGGGAAATATTTGATATGATCTCGACCCACCGCTTAATTTTGTGGTCTAGTCTAATCAAAATTTTAGATTAAAACGTGGTATCCGAAGCTAATAATTGGGGTGATATCACCATAATGACTAGTTACGACTAACGTGAGCAGACTTCATGAGCTCTATATGTCAGCCCTTCATGAGCTCCCTTTAAATTGTAATATTTTTTCCTCTTAATTATTAATTTTCTTTTGGTTTAGTTGTCATTGTTTTTTAATTGAAATAACATAAAAGTAGACAACAAAATAGGACAATAGAAGAATATTAAAAAATGTGGCTCATATCCGAGATGAATGCAATTTTGTGTAAAGAGAGTTCCATACAATTTTAAGAATTCGAAAACAGTCTGGGCTCTCAATCTCTCATTTTAAAGTAGGGGTTGCTTACCTAAAAAAGAAAAAGAAAAAGTATGGCCTGGTTACAGCCTAGCCTGATAGACAACAAACAATCCTATTTGACATAGACGTCGACGTAAAATAGATCTATTCTTTCAGGTTGATCCATTCGTCACAAATGGTAGGTTGAGTTTGGATTCTCAACCTGCCAACTCACTTGAACTTTCCCTGTTAGATATAAGTGGATTTAACGGATAAGATTAAAAATGTAATTTATACTGGTGTAAAATGATCTTGACTCATATATATATATATATATATATATATATATATATATATATATATAGGATTTGTATTTTCTCCTGCAGTAGGAGACATCTTCTCTTATGTTGCAGACTCAAAGACATTGTGAGTCCCACCACAATAAATAAAAAAAGAAAAGAGAAGAGAATGCACACATTTTTATGTATTTGTAGGAAGAATATTATCTCTCCTACTACAGAAGAGACATATTTCCCATATATATATATATATCACGTAATATTTTATTTTTCATTTCAAGTTTTTGTGACAAGGATTATTGATATATAGAGACAAAAATGAGTTCTTAGAGACTATCAAACTAAATATTAACATACAATTAGGTTTGATATTGGAAAAATTAATGGGAGTATGAAATAAAATTAAATAATACTATAAAACTTATAAATAAGATTTTTTTTATAATTTTTTAAATGGGTTGACTAGCCAACCAATCATAAAACAGTTCAAGTTAATATTTTCACCCTATAAGAGGGAAACCAAACTGTTGTTGATTCAAAAGTAGGTTTGTATCCTTCAAAGGATATAATATCTCAATATGTGGGTGCTCAAAGAGACAATGATGTAGACCAAAACTCAATGAGAGTCGCCATAAGTGCAATCACAAATTGAGGCTACGAGAAATGAGGAGTGTGTACGGAAACGATGCCTCTAAAATCTGACAGAGTAACAACTCATAAAAATACAAAATACGAAAAGAGGAATTTATACAAGTGAGAAAATATTTCCTAATGATGAAAAAGAGAGGACGAGTCAAAAAATGTTAGCCAATACCTTAACTTTGCAGTTACGCATTGCCTCACCATTATGGATGTACGATAGTAAGTTGTGCGGTGGAGAAGGAAATTCCTTGTGGTGAGGGCCATATGCTCAGCTATGAGATACTATCTAATTGGGCTTTGGATGATCGATTTGGCATACTAGGCCTGTGTTGCCGGCTAATAAACGAACCAACCTGCCGTGTCTCATTTTTTATATGTTGACACTTGACACTAGACACAATGTCAGAGTGAATTGACCTACTATGCCACCGACACACCACATCTTAGTGAATGAGAATGAGAGGAAGGTCCTAATTCAAAAAGGAATAATAATTATATTTTTTTATTTTTTTAATATGATTAGTGAAGAGTCTCCATATATAGATTAATAATCATAATTTTAATAACAAAGTGAATAAAAAAAGAAAATAATATGTTTTTTTAATATGATTACCTTAGTTTGTAATTAGTAAATTAACGATAAGAAATTAAAATAATTAATTATTTTTTCTTTGGTATTTTATAACCTTTGTCAGCCATTGATAAATAATTGAGATTTCTAAGAATATGATCATATATTAAACTAGAGATATGAGAAAGCTGATTGATAAGAAGTGGAAACTGGAAAGAAAAATAGAGAAATTAGAAGGAAAGAAACGTCACAAATTAGCAACTGGGATTACTAAAGATGATATTAATTTTTTTAAGAAGTTATGCAGGGCATTAAGCCCAAAACAAAAAAATAAAATTAAAAAATCCGTATAGCACTAAGAACTCCAAAATAGGGCTAATAGGCTCCAGCAGGTCCACGCTGTCCTGATCTAATGCTACTTAAGATGAATATTTATCAAAAATAGTGTTAAGAATCCACTTAATATGAATTTTATAAAAAACAGTGTTAAGAATTCAAATATAAGGAGTGAATTCTCACATTGTTTATGAATGAACTGAGGATTATATAAATGAAAATACCAATAACCTAACATGTTAAGATTTTAGTATGAGAAATGCGGTGTACGATTCAACTTATTGCGATAGTACTATCACCCTAAAGATAAGGACTGATTATGACTAGTTGCCAACCCTTTTTCCAAGTTAATGTTAGAGGTTTGTTTAGACCCCATTGCGTGACTTGCGTGCCCTATTTCCCTATTTCCATGTCAAATTTCATATCCCGTGAATATTTATCTTGTGTTACAACCACATGTCTCTCACTCATATTCCTTTTCATGGAAACAATGTAAAAAAATTATAACTGCCACGATATGTCTCTCTTTTTTTTTTTTTTTGAAATCGAAAGGAAATAAAAGACAAAAAAAGTGGGACACCATATTTGGTTTTTATGATATGCATATACTTATCAAGAAATCATCATCATCATTTTTTTTTTTGTTTAATCATAGGTAGAAGAATCTCTATAAAAGTAGAGAGAGTAGTCTGAAAGTTCATGTAAATTTTTCTGCTTGAAAGTTTCCATTCATTCCCTATGGTTTTCTTGACTATCATAACGTTCTTCTTTATTCTTCTATTCATCATCAAATGGTTTTTCAACTCCACAACCATAAAAAACTCACCCCCTTCACCTCCAAGATTACCAATACTAGGTAATCTCCATCAACTTGGCTTGTTCCCACACCGCACACTCCAATCCTTAGCTCAAAAGTATGGCCACTTAATGTTGCTTCATTTTGGAAAGGTGCCAGTACTTGTTGTTTCCTCTGCTGATGCAGCACGTGAGGTGTTGAAAACTCATGATCTTGTCTTCTCCAATAGGCCACATCGTAAAATAAATGATATACTCTTTTATGATTCCAAAGATGTGGCATCTGCTACATATGGTGAGTACTGGAGGCAAATAAGGAGTCTCATTGTGTTAAATCTTCTCAGCAACAAAAAGGTCCAGTCTTTTCGTCGTGTGAGAGAGGAAGAAACTGCAAGAATGATGGAAAATATTAAGGAGTGTTCTTCTTCTTCCTTGCTGGTGAACTTATCTAACTTGTGCTCTTCACTTACCAATGATATAGTATGTAGGGTGGCTATGGGAAAGAGATACCGTGAAGGAGAACTAGGGAAGAAGTTTCAGCAGCTTTTGTTGGAATTTGGAGAGTTGTTGGGTACTATTGTTATAGGAGACTATATACCATGGCTTGATTGGTTGGGAAAGCTGGTCAATGGTTTCTGGGGTAGAGCAGAGAAAGTGGCCAAACATTTGGATGAGTTTATAGATGAAGTGATTGATGAACACATTAGATGTCATGGGGATGCTGAGGTAGACAGTGAGGACCAGAATGATTTTGTGGATATTTTGCTTTCTATCCAAAAGACTAACACTGTTGGCTTCCAAGTTGATAGAACAACAATAAAGGCTTTGATCCTGGTAAGCGTATCATCTCTTCTCTCTCTCTCTCGCCATGTTTTTCCCATTTTGTGTATGTAACTCTAGCATAAACCATATTTTTTGTTTTTCTTTAGGTAATATATTTGGTTCAAGTTTTTGGTTGAGATCCCCTTGCATCTGAGTTTGGCAATAAACGATGTCTTTGTTTGATATAGGAGATATAAAAATTTATCCACCAAAGTTATCCGGATAACTTATCATCATAGAAAACACATCAATAAGATTTATATATCACATCAATAGAAAACATAACTTAATAATAGAATCTACTCAAACCCCTCGTCAACTACACAGGGTAGCTCAGTTGGCAGCTGAGCTCCTAAGGGATTGCTGCCTCAAGCAGTTTCTTAAAAAATCTTTGGGGGCAAAGCATAATATAAAAAGCAAAATTTTACTAATTTACATCCAGAATATTGAAATAATATTAGGTTTTCATATTTATCCCAACTTTACTTTTTAGTTTTTAGTAAGTTCATGCAGCTCATGCCTCAAATATTAAAGGATAATTTTATACGAAAAAAGAAGAAGAAAGACAACGATCATGTACAGATGGTGTGCGTGTGTTTTTTTTTTTTTTTTAATGTGTAAAGTGTTGTTTATATAGTATAACCATAAAAAATACGAAAAAATAAAATAAAAATAGTGAACCTTGGAAAGAGCAAGAGCATCAAGAATTGCAAGGAGGTCAGTGAGAAGATCAGACTTGGATTAGACGACCTAATAGAGACCTAAGCTCGTAATCAGACTTGGACATTTATTTAGAAAATAAGTCATAGATTTTCTTTGACATGTCGCGTCAATAAACATACTTGTCGATATATATCATATTATTTATTTTAAATAAAATAAATAAGATAAATATTATTTTAATTATTTTTTTAATTATTAAATGACTAATAAACTTAAACAAGCTAACAGACCCATAACAATGCTTTTATTTTTTAAATGTAAACAATGATAGATTTATAATTTAGACCTATATAAGCTAATAGACTAAGTCGTTCTTAAAGTATATTTCATAGGCTCGACCTATGTAAGCAAAAATTTAGCGCAACCTAACCTATTTACACCTCTGTTCCCCCAATTTTCGGGTTGATTGTGCTTCTTATGATAAATTAATAAGCAGAGGCAAGGTAGACTCATATAAAAAACAATGTAGACTTATATTTGCTTAATTATGTAATCATGTGTGGATTAGTATGTTCACATATTTCGTAAAATTTGGATGAATGAATTATAAAAAATCTGGAGTATCTTTTGGTTTAACCAATTTGTAGTGGTTCTTGTTGTTGGATTCTTATACTTAACTTATGAACAATGCAGTGATATATAAGCCTTATTGACGTGTTTTCTATGATGATAAGTTATCCGGATATGTAGAAATAAGGATAGGATCTGAAAAATATGAAGTAAAAAAAGAAAGAGTAATATTAACTAAACAAAAAATTGTTAGATTACTTAGATGTTATCTCATAGTTGAAGATGTAAGTAATTCTTGATTTTGCAGGACATGTTTGCTGCAGGAACTGACACAACCTCCACACCCCTAGAGTGGGCAATGACAGAACTATTAAAGCACCCAATTTTGATGCAAAGATTGCAAGACGAGGTGAGAAGTGTGGTTGGCAAAAGAACTCACATAACTGAGGAGGATTTGGGTCAAATGAACTACTTGAAGGCTGTGATTAAAGAAACACTTCGGTTCCATACCCCAGCTCCCTTATTAGTACCTCGGGAATCCATGCAAGATATCAAAGTGAAGGGGTATGACATTGCAGCTGGGACACAAGTAATAGTGAATGCTTGGGCCATTGCAAGAGACCCTTCATGGTGGGACCAACCTCAAGAGTTTAAACCAGAAAGGTTCCTCAACAGTTCAATAGATTTTAAAGGACATGATTTTGAGTTTGTACCTTTTGGTGCTGGAAGGAGGGGTTGCCCTGGAACATTGTTTGCCATTAGTGTAATTGAGATGGTCCTGGCAAACCTTGTCCACCAATTTGATTGGTCATTGCCTGCAGGTGAGGAATTGGACATGTCTGAAATTAATGGCCTCACCATTCATAAAAAATATCCTCTCATGGCACTAGCGACACCACATAAGAGACATGAATAAAGCTGTGTTTTTGTAATATGTTTAACTCTCACTTCACATGGACCCTTTGTGGATGCAATTATGTTGTAATTTTTTTTTTTTTTTTAATAATTTCGAACCTCCAATAAGGACCTCACACTCAGAGTTGGCACAATAGTCGGGTTTTGATATCAATGCCATATTATATATCTTATCACGGTATAAGGTAAGTAGTGATAGAACGATGCTTGTATAAGATTTGATTAAATGTTAATACTATATAATATTTAGTATGATATTGTATAAGATAATATCATTCAGTGTTTGGTAATACACTGTTTAATACCAGATAGGATAATATATATTTTTGATAAAAATATCATTTGATAAAGAATTTATATAATTCTTTCAAATATGTCATATGATATTATTTTTTATAAAAAACTATTGATCAGCATGTCCAATTTTTTTTAAAATTTTATAAAAATAAAAATATCCAATATTTTAAAAATTAATATGTTGAAAAATTAATTTTTGTTTTAATATATTAATATTAAAATAATATATTAATTCTTGAGAATTGTATTGGTCAGCGATGTTAATACATTAATCCCTTATCAGGCCTAATCTCATCTCCTTAGGCCTGATTAAGTTATACATCATTTTGATGTATTAAGGGCCTGTTTGGTGTGGCGTATAAGGCATGATAGTATAAGCTTATACTATCCGTTATGACATTTTCAATTGTTTGGTGTGACCACTGTATGGTATAAGCTTATACAACATAATCCCTTAGGGCCTGTTTGGTGTGACGTATAAGGCATGATAGTATAAGCTTATATTATACGTTATGACATTTTCAGTTGTTTGGTGTGACCACCGTATAGTATAAGTTTATACAACATAATCCCTTAATACATCAAAACGATGTATAACTTATTCCGGCCTAAGGGTGAGGGATCATAAGACCTGATAAGAGATTGATGTATTAACATTGTTGACCAATGTAATTCTCAAAAATTAATATATTATTTTAATATTAATCTGTTAAAATAAAATGTTATTTTTCGATATATTAATTTTTAAAATATTGAATATTTTTATTTTTATAAAAGTTAATTTATATTTTGGACACACTGATCAATAAATTTTTATAAAAATTAATATCATATGACATTTTTTGAAGAATTATATAAATTCTTTATTAAAGGATATTTTTATTAAAAATATTTATTTTTATCATATATAGTATTATACAGTGCATTACAAAATACTAGATGATATTATCTTATAGAATATATTATTTTATACAATACCGTGCCAAACGCTTGATAGTATTAAAATTCAATCAGGTTTTATACAATCAGGTCTTATACTATCAGGCCTTATCCTATACTATGCACCAAACATGCCCTTAATATATCAAAACGATGTATTACTTAATCCGGCCTAAGGGTGAGGAATAAGATCTGATAAGAGATTCATGTATTATAACATCGTTTACTAATGTAATTCTCAAAAATTAATATATTATTTTAATAGTAATCTATTAAAATAAAATTTTATTTTTCAATATATTAATTTTTAAAATATTGAGTATTTTTATTTTTATAAAAATTAATTTATATTTTGGACACACTGATCAATAAATTTTTATAAAAATTAATATCATATGCAATTTTTTGAAGAATTATATAAATTCTTCATTAAAGGATATTTTTATTAAAAATATTTATTTTTATCATATATAGTATTATACAGTGCATTACCAAATACTAGATGATATTATCTTATACAATATATTATTTTATACAATACCGTGCCAAATGCTTGATAGTATTAAAATTCAATCAGGTCTTATACAATCAGGCCTTATACTATCAGGTCTTATACTATCAGGCCTTATCATATACTATGCACCAAACATGTCCTAAGGGCCTGTTTGGTGTGATGTATAAGACATGATAGTATAAGCTGACATGATAATATAAGCTTATATTATGCGTTACTACATTTTTAGTTGTTTGGTGTGACCATCGTATAATATAAGCTTATACAACATGATCCTTTTATACATCAAAATGATGTTTAACTTAATCAGGCCTTGGAGGGTAGGATTAAGCCTGATAAAAGGTTGATGTATTAACCAATGCAATTCTCAAGAGTTAATATATTATTTTAATATTAGTATCTTAAAATAAAAAATAATTTTTCAATATATAAATTTTTAAAATATTGGATATTTTTATTTTTATAAAAATTAATATATTTTTTAGACACACCTTTCAATATTTTTCTATAAAAAATAATATCATCTGATATATTTGGAAGAATTATATAAATTCATAATTAAAAGGTATTTTTGACAAAAATATTTAATTTTAACCTATCTAGTATTATACAGTGTATTACTAAACATTGGATGATATTATCTTATATAATATATTATATTATACAATATCATGTTAAACGCTGGATAATATTAAAATTTAATTAGGTCTTATATGAGACCTTATCCTATACTATATATGTATCAAACATGTCCTAATACATCCAGACAACTAAAAATGTCATAATATATAATATAAGTTTATACTGTCAAACCTTATAGATCCAGACTCATGTTAAACGTTTTCATTCCCTCCACTCAATTGTAATATTTCATCCACTTCAAGATTTGATAATAAAAATTGTTGCATTATAATTTAACAAAGGCAGAATACTTTGGAAAAGAAAAAGAAAAAACCAAAGGTTCATTCAGATGAGTTTCCTTTCCACATAAAGTTATATAAACGATAGATTATATACTTCTTCTGTCACTGCAGATGGGAAAAAGTGCAGCAACACTTATTTTCATCAGGATACGCGTCCGGATCCTGATGTGTTTTTTTTTTAGGCCAGAATACGACCCCGTATCCTAGTGTTAATAATTTGCTGCAACTTTTCTCATCAGCAGCGAAAGGAGAAGCGACGAACCCATAAACGATACCAGTCTCCTTGTAATTTGCACAACGGTTATTGAATTTCCATTGTGAGGGGAAAAAACAGGTGAAAAGAAAAGAAAGACAGGGAAAGACATAATTTCTTAATGGGATATATATTTTTTATGTTGTAAGAAAAAATTATCTCATGTTGTAGAAATAAAAGTATAAGTAGAACCCACAGGTAAGAAGAGAGATAAAAAAAAGTAATGAGACCCAATCCCTTTTTGTGTATGTAAGAGAGTTGTTTATCTCATGTAAAATGAGATAAACATAACCCTTTCTTAATATTGATTGATAGGGTAGAAAAATAATTGATTTGGTGAAAAGAAGGTGAGCTATTTGATGGCGAGATTAGGTCTTTTCCTTTATAAGGTGAAATATTTTAATATTTTAATGAATAGAATCATTCGGTATAATAGAATTTTCTTTCTAAACATCTATTTAAATACTTTATAGTACGTAGCCATGGTAAAGTTAATAAACCTATCCAGTGGCGGAGCCGGATTTCAAAATGAATCCGGGCGAAAAATTATATGTATATTTATTTTTTTAATTTTAATTAATTTATATTATAATATATTTAAATTATGTTAAATACAAAGCACCTGAGCAGACAATATTAAGAAAAGTTATAATTTTATTAAATATTTTTTAATTTCTTTTTATACAAATGAGAATTGAACACATAACCTAATACAACTTATCCAAATCTCTTATCAAATATATTTTAATTTTTAGATAGGAATAAATACAAATTCTAGCCCGGGCCAAATTACAATTTTAACCCGAGCCAAAATATAATTAATGATATAATTATATGTAATAAGTACAATTTATTAAAACTTAGTCCGGGCCGAGGTCACCTCCAACTATTAAGTGGCTCCGCCGCCACTGAACCTACCCCTACCCAGTTGTTAATAGAAATTTCTTCATCATCTTCATCAGTAGTCTTTGATCTCTTCAAGTTTGGATTTCGCTAAAGAAAATAATTATTGGTACAAGCTATGAAGACAAGAGTAATGGGGTTTATATACGTGAATATGCACTTATGCTTAATAATGATAAAATCCAACCAATTCAAAGGATGGATTTGTTAATAATCACATATAGAATATTAATTAAGATAGGATAAATGCTAGATTCTCATTTAAAATGAATCTAACACAAGAAGAAAGAAATTAATTATGGAAAAGATACTTTTACAACTCTCAGAATTATTGAATGCACATCTGTTGCCTTTTTTTTTTTTTCTCCTTAAGTAGTTCAAAGTTGATATTCTAAGATAATAGGGTGCATTTAGAAAAACTTTGACAAAAAATGCTTTTATTTATATATTTTTAAAGTTTTTAAGGCTACCTTTTATATTTTTTAGTAATACTCTAAAATTGTTTATATATATGTTTTTAAAAAATTATTTAACTATCATAATTTTTAAATTTTAATTAAAACAACTTTATTATTAAAAAAAACACAAACAAAATGCCTTAACATTTCTCTTTAAGATTTCACCGCCTATCAAGCAAATTATCAAGTAAATAACAGTGAATCTATACTTCAAATCAATGAAAAATGACAAACAAGGTTCTATTTGTCTTTTCATCTTATTCTTTTATTATTATTATTTCAAACTTGCTTGTTGCTTCTAGTCTTGTTGCTCTTTTTTTCAGCCAATGAAGAAACATAAATTGGATTTGGAAAGGCCCGAAGTTTCAGCACCTAGATCGAGTTTTTAAACGGTTAGATGGAGTGGTGGCTAATGCCCAATGGAGGAGGTCTTTTGCTGAAGCATTTGCCCATGTCATTCCTCGAGTTTTTTCGGATCATTGTCCTATTATCCTCAACCTGGATAAAGAGCTTGTTGGTTGGGAAAATCGACCTTTTCGACTATAACCGCCGTGGCTTGAACACCCCAACTTCAAGCATGTCCTTGAGGAGAACTGGGAAGACAACACCGAATGTAATCTTACCGAGTTAATTCCCAAGCTCAAAGAGTGGAACACTAACACATTTGGCATCATCCACAAGAAGAAGGCGTCTATTATTCGGAGACTGGCTGGC